CGGGATCACACTCCGTTGCAAAACTAAAATCTGGATTATATTTCATGGAAGGATAAGTTGTGATGATCAAAAATTTTAAAAGGAGGAATATTTAGTAAGGACGAACAAGACAATTGCATTACACTCAGCGTATAAGAGCCGGTAATGGTGCCGGATAGATGCTGTAAATAAAAATAAACATATCTGGATCATTTTATGGATAATTACCTTATATTCTATTTAATAAAATACATCATGGGTATAATTGCAATACCTAAGGTATGAAATTTTTTGATTCGATAGCACATCAACAATGCGATAAGTACGATATAGGCCGGGAATTCGACGCGTGTCCTTTAGCAATATAGCTTATAACGTATATCTATTAAAAATATATATACTGTGGCCTGGGATAGATTAAATGATAGGGTAGATATCTATCGTTTTGATCTATCATCATGATTAATTGAAACTATTTCTGCTTAAGCTACGCTCCCTTTGTTTCAGGGCAGACCTTTTTGATTCCGAAAAAAAAAGCCACGCGTCTAGCAATGCACGTAAAGTCGATCTTGACATGTTGGCAAAATCGCGAAGAGCAATCTCGGGATGTTTGACCCGGAACGAGCAACTTAAATTGAGACCTCACTACGATCGGAGGCCGCATTAAATTGAACATAAGTAGGCACCATTAAGTTAAATATTATATCAAGATTGCAAGACGGATCAGTGAGCAAAAGTTTTGAATAAGGAGCTTTAAAACTCGGCCGAGTAAGATCGAGACGCAAAAGTACCAAATCGCTTAATGATTCTTTAATACTGTGATCAAACCTCATTTCAACCTGGTTGAAGTGACATCTCGTAAGTTAATAACCAAGAGCACAAGCTACCCGAGCTGACGGCTACACAAGGTAAGAGCAAGGCTGTACAGCAAGGCACGAAGTTATCTGTGAGTCAACAAGTGCCAGAGATCACCTTACATCGTTACATATGTGAGATTGACTTCTCTGTTCCTACAAAGGCATTTCCAAGATTAATTGCTCTTGTAGTTTCTTAACACGTTGCGATGTACTCTGCGAATGCCGTACACATTAAAACGGATATCGTAAGCTGTGAGAGCCATGGATCCGCGCCACCGCACAATTATTCGCGACTCCAGTCACACTATATCTCGTGTTGGTACCACTACACATAGCTGTCGCAAGATATTTTATCAGCAACGAATTGCGCTTTCATCTCAGCGCTTTTAGGTCAATTATAGGTCAAGATCCTACAGAGATATTGTTTTACAGCATCAGCATGCTTTCTTCTCGGTTGGTTAACATTTACACTGAGCAAATTTACTAAAAAAAGAGTTCTGGTAACGTTGACGGAACATGTTAATGAGCGTTTTTTTGTGCCTTTCAATACGGAAGTTAATTTAAATTTAAAAGTCTTCATTAATATTTGTCTACAAATCAGGGGGTTTGCCCACCGGAATGCCTGCACGCGTGCTTCCACCGATGGATCATCTCACGTGTATACTAATTTACGTCGCGAAATATTTAACTCGTGCCGTTGCAATTGGATACCACAACAAAGTACTGCCGTAATCGTTTTTTTCATGATGCTGAACAGCCCATGTTGCAACTTGCACATAGGATCTATCTGCTATGCTTATTTTGTAAATTTTAGAAGATCGTCGACAAAGCCTATCGTAAAACATTTGTCTATTGTCTTGTAACGTACATACCAACAATCTTTATGTGTCCATGTTAAAAGATTTGCACCCGTAAATAACGATCTAGCTTCGTACTAAATACTCATCCGGTCTGGTAAAAACTGTACAACACTGTGTTAACTAAAATAAATTGCTGTTTAAAAGTAATGTGGTAATAAAGCGATTTACACATTATACAATGAAATAGTTACGCACTAAAATATGGTGTGAAGACGTCACGACGGAAAATTTCAATCTATTGACGTTTCCTGTTAATAGTAATCAAAACGAAGCTATGGAATCAATCTATGAAACGTAAAAAAAGTGCCCCCTTTGTTGTTTGCCGACGCGCCGACGAGCCGATTTTGATCCAAAATTACCTCTTTTAACTCGTTTGTCTTCACCGTATAAGCCCGGTAAGTTGGCAACATTTTCATGACGTTGGCGCACCCGCTACGGCAGTCTTTTTTGTGCACCCTTTAGGTCATCAGTAAAGAAGCTCCATACTTTGCGTCGAACCAATTAATTATGAATTCGAATATTTTTGCCACAGTCTTTGGAATGTGCAAGTCGTTTTTGTCAATTGTTGTGGCCCAGTCTCATTTTTGCATTAACAACGAAGATGTTTAGGCGTAGTAGTATCTACGCCAATCCGTAAATCGCAAACTATCACTTATCTCTTTACTTCCACGATGCCCGTTTTTTTGTCAGCATTATTATCACAAGCTAATATTTGGTCGGCTCCGCATGCACCGCGCGCTTGCTGCGATGCATACGGTGTATAAGGCACATTTTTTGAGATTATTAATTTTAACCGAGCCTCGCTCGACGTAAATCAAGAGTGTAAATTAAACATCACTCATATGTATATATACTTTCCTTCCCCAGTTTGCTAGCTAGTATCCGGTGATGTTGCTTCCTCTTGTAATATTGCAAACTTTATCGCAACTAAGATGACAATTATTGTCAATCCTGAGTCCATCGGTTTATATTGATTTTACAAAGCTGATCGAGTTTACAGTAAAACCCGGTTCAGAATTCACCAATCACTTCTCCACCTCGTATTATATTCACCAATTGACATTACATCCGTTTCTAGGAGCCCTTGTCAGTCTCTATTATCGATTGTAGTGTTTGGAACATCATCTCGTGCGTGGACTGTCGAACTCGTACCGTTTTAACGTTCACGCGCTTTGCTTTGCTCGTCATGTCTTCACCGACAGCATCGTCGTCCACCTCAAACCGTAAACTGACAGCACCAACGGTCCTTGTCGGAGTACATTTGTTCGTGTGTCCGTCATGTTTAATAATGTCATAGCTCACAAGAGATTCGAACACATACTGCTAAAAGAGCTCAGTCAGTAGTGAGTCTTTCTTTTGTATTAAATCGCCCTTCTTAGGAAGTGCAAAGTGAAAAGTGATATGTTTGATCGGCTCTTATCTTAAAACAGAATGAATCTCAGCCAGCGTTCGTCTTGAAGCCTTTCAGCCACTCGAGTCTTCTTCTCCGTCAAATCTCTATGCGAAATGGACATTTTTACTTCTTGTAAAAACCTTAAGGTTAAAACACCATAATTTCGTATACACTGCAAAGGGAGTGCCTGGTATGGGAGTCGTAGCTCTATGGGTTCGAAAGTCTGGTAAATCCTTCCCCCATGTCGGGGGTGTCTACCACAATGAACTTGACCACACACCGAGACCCGATACCTCACTAAACCACTTGTAACACCCGTACTAAGCGACTGAGACAATCTGCTGCCGTTTCTCATATACACAAAACAGCCCAGCTTTAACATGCAAACATACAATTGCATACTGAGATACAAATAGCCGCAACAAAAACTTTAACAGTATCCGAGTCTGGTCGTCTGGTAATTAAAGCTTGTATCCCACGACACTGTTGATGTAATTATAAATAATGGATCTTGCTGTGAGGATTTGGTCGGCTTAGACATGTGGGCGTAATTGAAGATCGACGATGATGCTCTGCATGTACGATTTACATCTGTTGCAAAGAAGGTAAAATCGAAGTGAATATATATTAAAGTCCTTAGTTCACTACTCTTAGCTAAGTCTAAGCCTCATTGTAACGACATCCTGTGATCCCATCATGTAACCGCGATCCATAACCTTCTTCCGTAACGAAAACCATGAAACACCCTGACACAGAAATCATCACCATGAACCCAACATGAAACGACTGCATGAAGCGACGTAATCTCAACACTCCCACTCGCCGTTACTGTGTGTCGGTCTTGGACTTTGGCTTGGTCTGATTCCGATTGCCTCGCACATAATTTTTAGTATCTTAGTTCCCGCGTGCCTTTGTAAGCATATCCGCGAATTGATTTTTCGTGTCGATGTAGTCGATCATCAATATTCCGTCTTGAACATTTTCACAAATGAAGTGGTGTCTAACGTCCACATGCTTTGTCCGAGCGTGGTAACCGGCATTGTTGGCCAAAGCAATCGCTCCTTGATTATCTTCCCAAACTTGTGTGCCTCCCACTTCTTCGTGACCCATGTCCTTAAGCATCGCACGCATCCAAAGAACTTCTTATGTGCAAAGACTGAGCGCCATGTATCAGCTTCCGTCAAGCTGAGCGCAAGATATCGCTGGTAATTCGACTTAAATACCACTGGTGCGCTTGCAATAATGACCATGACTCCTGAGGCCGAACGTCTACTATCGCTGTTGCTGCCCCAATCAGCATCCGAGTACGTCTTTACCCCAACACTCCCAGTGCCTTGGTAGACGACACCTGTTTGGTGTGTGGTCTTCAGATGTCTTAAAACGCGAATAGCTGCACTCCAATGTTGTAATTCAGGTTTCTCCAGAAAACGTGGTAGTTGTGTCACCACGTACGCAATAGCCGGCCTAGTACAAGTTGTAATGTATAGTAGGCATCCGATCAAGAAGCGATACGTCTTCGAGCGCATCGACGAACGTCCTTCTTCCGTCGTAGGAGACTGTGCTGACGACAATCTCATTCCTACAGCGCATGGGTTGTCCACACTCTTGGCATCTTTTTGGCCGAAGTTCTTGACCACGTCGTCGCTTGCCACTGCTTCGTCAAATGTAGTTGGCACATTATGACCATCATCAAAGCTTACCGCGTATGCAAATACAGCTTCTGCAATGAGTTCGTCTTTTTCAAACCTAGCACGCTTCCATGTCGGTGGTCCGTCACTTCATTCTATTAACTGTTTATATTGTTTGAGCCAATTCTAAGCAAGATCATCGGCTCACGTCTTCCTCTTGTTCGCTCCACGTCAGGTCGGAACACTAACGATCTTCTCGTTGTATTTGAGGTGGTAAATGATACTATGCTAGTTGCATTGTGTCTTCAACATGGCGATCGGGAGGCATCAGCTGCTGTGCACTGACGCTTAACGTAGAATCCACATCGTCCATCTCCACGTCTGCGACCGGATCTTCAACACCTTCCATGGGTTCGTCCAGATCTGGCTGTTTATCTTCCTGATGCTGAATCTGTATTTCATCACTGTCCTTCGTCACGTCAACGACCGCTTCCGGATTTAGCACTCGAGTGTCGTCGATGCCGCCCACTTCACGATCCTCCAACTTCGTTGAACGCGTAACTTTTACCTCGGCAAATTCCGAGTCAAACACACGATAACCTTTGACATTTTCTGTGTAGCCGAGGAACATACACTTGAAACTCTTGGGCTCCAACTTTGTTCTCTTCACATAATTTTTTAGGCGAAACCCTGCGACCCGAACACGCGCAAGTGTTCCATTTGAGGCTTTATCTTATAAGCCAACTCATACGGTTTCATGTCGAGGTGAGCCGTATTTGTGGAGCGGTTAATCAGATATAAAATGCTGTAATTACCGCTTCCGCCTAACATTCAGTTAAAACGCCTTTGTAGTGTAGCATGCTCCGAGCCTTCTCCATGATTGTCCTGTTCATCCGCTCTGCCACTCCGTTTTGCTCAGGGCTGTAAGGAACAGAACGTTGATGCACTATGCCGTTCTGTTGACATATGCCAACCATCGTCTTGCTGACAAACTCTGATCCGTTGTCGGAGCGCAAACACCTCAAACGAGCTCCCCATTAGTTTTCAAAAAACGTCTTAAATTTCTTGAACTTGCCAGTCACTTCACTCTTACTTTTGATCATAAAGACCGCAACTTATCGTGAATAACGTAATGTATTTGGCACCACCCTTAGAAAGATTTCTCATTAAACTCATGACGTCTGCGCGCACGAGCTCCAGTAAACGTGTCGTCTTCGTCATTAAATGTGAGAAAAATTTCGCGACGGTCTGCTTTCTCTTTAAACACCCGAAGCACAGTGTTTCCGTGCCTAGCTTGATTGTCGAAATGCCTTTAATTGAGCGCTGAGTCTTGAGTAACGCATCTTTGCTTGGGTGTCCCATGCGGGCATGCCAAAGTTTTTACTGAGTGTCACCACCGGAATATTCCACGGCGAGACAAGCTTCTCCTTGCTTATAGTCTAGATAATATGTTTTTCCGATTCTGTTTCCCGAGGCGATAGCTTGATCCTTGCTCCAGATGACACAAGACGAACGTGAGAACTCCACATTTATGCCACGTTCTGCAAGCTTACCGACTGAAAGCAACATTCGATCGAGATTTGGGATGTACAGGAATTAAACATTTGGAATGCCTTTTCCATCCAAACCGGTCAGCTTTACCGTACCGGCTCCTTTGACGATCAACTTCTTGCCATCTGCAATTGTAACTTCGACGTTTAAATCAACGCCTTGTATTCGAACAAGTCCTTTCTGCGTGGGGTCATGTGGGAGGTTGCACCACTGTCGATCATCCATCCGGATGATCTTCCTTCGCTTACTGCAAATACCGCATCATCGCCGCAAATTTGTTTCCCGGCCAGGCAGGTCCGCTTCATATGACCAAACTTGTCACAGTTAAAACACTTGCTCTTGAAACCGCTGTGATTGCGTGGAGCGCCACCTTTTCGAACGTTGACCCGTCCAGCTTTCAATCTTCCAGGATTCCCATTCACACGGAATGGTTTCTCCGTAGCTTCCTTCCTTTGTATCTTTTCTGACTCCTGGTTTCTCCGTAGCTTCCTTCCTTTGTATCTTTTCTGACTCTTAAGCAGCTTCTCCTTGACTTTAATCAGCGTAATGTCCTTCGCATTTTCAACAATCGACCAAAATGGTTCGTATTTAGAAGGCAGACTACTGAGAAGTACCACCAGCTAGCGCGACTCATCCACCGTTTCTTCCGTAGTCTGGAGTCCCACTACCAGTTCGTCGAAATGATCTAGATGTTCCGCCATACTTGTCCCAATCTTCATTGCTAAGTCGTGAAGATGACGCGTCATCGTCACACGATTGTTAAGCGTCGAGCGGTTGTAGAAATCGCGGAGCTTTCCCCATGACCCTATAGCGCGCGTAGCCGATCGAATCTTTGTTCGGTGCTGGACCTCAATCCTTTGAGCGATGATGTCTAGCGCCTTGGCGTCGTTTATCAGCCATGCTTCTGTTACGTCACTCTCATCATTGAATGCCATGACATGCCCTAGAAGACCCTTCCTTGCCAGTGTCATCCTCATGTTATACTCCCAGTGGTAATAGTTACCACTTCCCAGGACGACTTCGTTCCGCTTGTTCGCCATAGTTCACGAGGACGTGGTTTGGAAGGAAGGCTTGGTTGCGGCTATTAACCTGTTGCAAAGAAGGTAAAACCGAAGTGAATATATATTAAAGTCCTTAGTTCACTACTCTTAGCTAAGTCTAAGCCTCATTGTAACGACATCCTGTGATCTCATCATGTAACCGCGATACATAACCTTCTTCCGTAACCAACACCATGAAACACTCTGACACAGAAATCATCACCATGAACCCAACATGAAACGACTGCATGAAGCGGCGTAATCTCAACAATTTCGCACATGGCTGATCTATATGGTAATTTGATGTTGGGGTGTACTGACAGTCTGAGCCTTAGGTTTAGATTGGATCTGTCGTTTGGTAGGGGGATTCTACGAATCTGATTGCGATTTGATCGTCGCTAAATAGTCAATCACTGCTTATACCCGTGAACTCGTGTTTAGGGTTCACCACGACATTGACCACCCCGAGACTATGTCCATACCACACGCAATCACTATCAATCTACATACGAGATCGCGCAATCTTTACGGACAAGTTATTACGACACGTAATTACCTAAGGTTAGGATACTTCGCATAGGAAGAAGAAAGGAAATGGAAAATGGCTGCTTGAAGTGATCGGCTTCTAAAAGCCATTAATTTTAACATGCGAGCTCTATTCGATATGTGTTACTTTTTGGCTTTTGATTTTGGACGTAAGCCCATCGCAACTCGTCGTAGGTCCAAAACCTTATCAAATGAACACGCATACGCTAATAAATCTTAAGATCTGGAAAATGATGGATGTCCGGTCGTATCATTTTGAATAGTAGGTTATTTCGGCGCATTAACAAGAAAATGTGCGGTTAAAAAAAAGTAAAATCGTTTTATTGCGCCATGTCTTAAAATAAGTGAGACACAATTTATTTGCGTCATACCCGCACACATTTGTTGCAGTCTCATGATTTATGCCGAAGATATGCGATTCGACTTGTTCAATGTCCACGCCTTTATTATACAAAAATTACTTGAACTTGGCACTCGCGATTTCACCATCTTTGTACATTTCGAGTTATCATACTGTAACTGCAAATATTCATTCCATCAAATACCTCGTTGTCATTGCGACAAATTTGTAGTCAATTTTGATACTTTTAAAGTGCTTCAGAGCTTAACCTCCCGCTTTAGCTTACATCGTGAATGTTGTCACAAACTTACTAAATATAACTATGGTGACTGAAACTGCACAAGTTGTCGTGCCACAACTGATGCCCGATACTAGCAAGTACGCATAAATTAGTTATTTCGAAATCACAATGTTAGGCTCGTCGACTTCGCGTATGTTTTTCCGTGATTTCTTTGTGATTTGATATGTCTAGCAGACCTAGGAATTACGTCCTGAAATTATCATACAAAGCTCTAGCTTTCAGGAAATCATCGACTTGATATTCTGTTGACAAATATGGTATAAACATTGTGTTTACAATGTGCTGATCAGCTACACCATCTCAAAAAAAACAAATCGTATATAATGCCTCTTAATACGCTCCCCACGATCATTTTACCTCCAATATCCAAACAGCTTCGACTTTGTCGACTTGAACTACCAATATATTGTCCCTTGACAGTTAAAACGTTGCTTGTCCAACTCGTAATGTATCCCGAATCCATCATTGATTGCAATTCCCATCGCCATAAGCAAGTTGATGGTGTAAGGAAAGTAAGTCTTCTATTTACATAGTGACTAATTTTAGTCGACAAATACCTCAAGAGAAGTAAAATCGCATCTCTAACTTGACGCTTTTTGAGCACGGTTCAATGTGCGCACAGTCGCTCGATCAATCAATGACTACATATAGAGAATGACTCATCTCTCGGCACTAAACACATGCGTCTTTAATGCAGTGTCATAGTAACACGCCTGCATCCCAACATCATCGGTCAATTGACCCACTTCATTGATGCATCCACCGCCATCCACATATTATAATTTATTAAACTACAAAGATTGAACCTCTTTCGAGTTCCCGAGCGCATCACGCGGCGTAAAGTTGGTATTTTGTTTCGCTAGCCTTTGCCAACCTTATAGCATTTGACTGGAAATGACGTTAAGCGGTCGCTATAGTTGCACTTTTTGGAAAATTCAATTTGATGGCACGTTACTGCTACATGTGTTACTATTTTTTAGTTGTCCTTCGATCTATCGATTCCGACCTTACTTTTCTTAAATATCATCAAACCCTGTTTTGTCACTGACCTATCGCTTTTTATTATTGTCGTGATTATTGTTCATGTTCTCGCACTTCGTGTTCATTTTCGAGTGGCAAAGCTGGATTCGATGTTGGCCTCTTCTACGGAGCCTGCAGCGGTACAAATTGTGGTAATACGCAATTTAAAAGATTGAATTCACGCGCGTCAATTGATTAAGTTTTCTTCGCACGTTCATTTCTGCTTTCATCTTATCTTATTTCATGAGTTTATTTTGAATATTTTTGGCTCGTACACCTTTAGAATACTAAGGTTGACTCGAAACATGTTTGCACGTGGGTGTGCTTTATCCACACACTTAGACAAACCCTGTGAATTCGGCTACTCAAGCTTAGCACTAAAATTTATAGAAACACGGAACACATCGTGGGATTGTACTCTAAGCACACTTCTGAATGATAAATTTATTGATTAACTAATGGAATGGTCGTTGACCCAAACGCTTTTTGCTATTCACCTTCAACCTTCATAACGGTTGCAATAATTCCATACCGGTTGCCTCAGAGCCTCAAAATAAATATTGAAAACACACACATGACACTGGGCACACTGTCATATGCCATGGACATTCTTGATATGTATTTAACTCTATTAATAATCACTTGCCTTATTTACACTTTTTTCTCATCCAAAAGTATACGTTTGATGTTCTCTTATGACAGGAAATGCACAAGAAGTCGCCGAGATAAAAGCACTACCCGCGTGGACCAAAAATGTCGGCAATATACGTAACTTGAAAAAATTGGTGCTCAGCAAATACAATGCTCCTGATGACAAGTTAACTTCATCATTTCTATGTCAGGTATTAACGATATAGTCTAGCCACCCGAAACGTACAAGAAGAAAATTTACGAAAAAAGTGCATGACTGGAAAATGGCGAAACGATGCTTGGCTGCTGCATTGTACTTGACCTCAGGGCAAAAGGTATGGGTAAGATCTATTGCGCATCACCTTAATTGCAGAGGATAAGACATGCGCAATGTGAGCGTACTACACAATACTTTTAAGCTTTGAATGTGCAAGATATAATAAAGACTATTAGCATGATCGCGTTGATAATTCTCAAGCAGCTGCACTTGTCAATATTGACAGAATTTTTTTTCATTGGATGACTCACACGGCCACATAACCTCCATAATAGTGCAAACGACCCGAGTTCGCATACCTTGAGCACAAATCTTTAGACTTGGAATGTTTTGCATAAGCGAACAGTTGAGTCACTATTGTTGTGCATTTTTGGTCTGAGATGGTGAAAATAGGTAATAAAGCGATGTCTAGCGCAATTCTAGAAGGCTTGGTAAGGGGAAGCCGCACTAAGAAAGATACGAGTTTCTTTTTCTTGTTAACACCTAAATGAGACTTAGATGCTATAAGGGCTTCATTATAGCCATATGTGTGACCTTACATTGCGACGCATTTATACCGTATGCTTATTTTACCCTTTAATGCTGATCTATTATGTGCTCATACCAGCGTAGTATTCACTTTAACGAGCGCTTGCAAGTGCAAATAATCCTTCGCAACTAATATGTAGCAAGAGATGCCATTAACCATTGTGTCATCGATGTCGATTTTATACTGTAGTCTTGCCACCTGGAGACGCGTATATTATCTTTAATCTCACCGACAACGATTAATACGATCAGATTGTGTTTACACAAAATATCCATTTTCTTGTCTTACAGGTTTTGTGTATCCCCTTACTCCAGCTTGATTCCATATTATGACAAGATAAGAAGCAATGAGTTCAGGCAGTCCACAAAGAGAAGAATCATTGACAAAGATACAGTACATACAGCAATCAAACGAGAAAAATGTGTTAAGAAGTGTCTATAACGTAATAATGTAATTGCCTGAGATAAAGTTGCGGAGATCGTTTGTTGTTATATAAATCATTGACAAGCAACGCACGCCGATTGTGTCCTGATTTTGCGAAAAATAAACAGTTCTAATACATCATACTCTCGCTTTATGGTTTAACAAATGTGAATGGAAGTAAACTTCTCTTAGTCGAGCCATGTGATGCGACCAGTCTGACTATGGTGGCAGTGTAATAGGGTCCATAATATATATTTGGCTCTCGGTCAATTAGTCGATGCCATTTGAAGAATTTATATTCTGAAGGCAACTAATCAGCATGCATTTTTTGTAGCGTGCAATATTCTTAAAAACAATTTGACATTATTGATAGATCTGGCGGCTGCGCACGGAAAAGATGACAAGCACGTCTTTAGTATCAAAGCAACGCAAGGTTAGGATCACGTATCGCTTTCGTTCTAAGCAAGCATGGCATGCCATAAATTTGGCTAAATGCATTCGTTCGATTAATTTGGTGTTCAATTGGACTATAGGCTTCTAGTGTTCAGCAAATGCCTGATTGAAGGAATACTGCTATCAGCTTTATTTAATTACAGCGCGCAAAGTAGGTACTTTGTCCAGTGTACGGCGAGATAAATTCTGCACAACACGTGACCTGAGTTTACCTTGCAGACGATCTATACGTGTCGAGCGGTCAAATACGAATCATTATGCTTGTATTTACGTACAGATTTTCTCAAGCCATGTACAATTAATAGTGCTTTGTGCTAGATCTTCAGTAGGTACTACTATCCATTCCTTTTTTTACCACTGCATGCCTCCTTTAACTCGTGTAGTCACACTCTCCAAACTTTGTAGTTCAGCTACTTCGTGCAACAAATAACTATTTCCTACTGATACTACAAGAGAAGTTAAGATATTTAACGCATTCACAATGTTTTAACATGCACTATGATGATGTTCTATAGGTGGTTCACTTCGGTAGGTGACCGACATGCAAATCACCAAAAATTAACACAAATGATCATGATTATCTTAGAGCTTAAATTTCGGCTTCACTATTGCGAGCACATTTTCTCAATATGCTACATGCTTAATAAGCCTACGTTAGGAAGAAAAATTATTTAGTACCAATCAAAAAGGATCTCGATCCGTAACAAAACCCGGGCAACTCTAATTTCAATAAGCAAAATCTGAAATGATTTAGTTCAGCGCCCAGAGATGGCCAGCCTCAGTCACGCGCTGCATGTAACAAAAGCAAAAATGAAATCTCTAATTAGTTGCATTGACACCCGTCACATACAGCAGTGGCATCTTAAAGATGTTGAGGTAAATTTGAGATCATTGTTAGCGTATGAATGCTTTGATAAACAAAATTATTAGACCCATCAATTTGTCTTGCACGCGAAGTCCATCAGGAGAATTTGCTTGGTAAAAAATATTTTATTTAGACTATGATAGTCAGTAAAAATGATTATATATGCGGCTGCAATCTAATATTTGACAATAATTACTATCTGCTGCTATGGACAAGACAGCTTTTCAAAATTTTGATACCGATGTCCTGCGGCGCAAATGTAGCCATTCATCCTGAAGCATTTAAAAATCACCTCGTTGATAGAAGAAACGAGGTTTGTCGGTTTATTGTGTTTGTAGAGTCCGACAACACACATATTATCAATGTACTGGCTTGAAAATTCATTCATTACATTTTTGATATGGCATTTGTTTACAACTCGCCTTTGGTTTTTTCAATTATCGTTTGTCTGATTTTTATAAACAAATATATGTCGTCATGCACATTGTTCAGATTTGGTCAAAATGAAACTTCATATCAATTTTAATAAAAAAACATGTTTTCAAGTTGTGGTAAAAAAACTGGTTATAGGTGCCAAATCTCCGTAAAATATATTTCAATCGAGAAGATCTAAAATTTATTGTTTATTTTACCTACCACATTTCCACCTTTTTAATAGCTACAATGGGCAACTTCAGTGAAGCGAACAAAATATAAAAGTTGTGTGTATACCCTACTTGTTTTTGACAACAACAGGTATGTATCCGATATGTTGTGGCACTCCAAATTCGTACTAAAGCAGCATCTGATCGGCTCATGACGCTACATACCATAATACATGATCACTGACCACTTCAGCGACAAAAAGATGAAAACAGTCGACTATGACCTTATTGTACAGTCTACAAGCAGCAAGGGATTCTGGATCCACATTGACATGAAAGCCTCTGGATCATGTAGTGCTACTAAATGCGGTAAAAAGTGAATAATACATCTCCATATCGAAGCGGGTCGCGAACGGACATTCCACGTGATCTGATTACAAAAAGTGACTAGCATACCTACATAGCGCTTAGATGTCCTGTCTGTACGCGAGGCACTGAGCTCTGTTTCTCCTTTTCTTGACAATGATTTATAAATTTTGATTTGATCCAGGCATTTGGTTGGAGCTGATCGCATAATTGGTGGATACATTATTGCGAGATACACGCGCTTTTCGTTCATACATGTATTATACCAAGACGGCGACTTCGCCACTACAGTCACTGACCTAATATCTTGTATTGTCAGTGTCATGTAATATTTTGTTGGGCGCAACTACGTCGCCTATAAAATGTTTGCTTGAGTGAAGGCTGCTATAATTTTTTTTTCTATAAGGCACAATCTAAAAAATTTAAAAAACGTAAAATCCATCATACACTTGTTAATCCAATCGAGAGCGACGCACTTTATAAAATTAGGCCCCTGAATGGGAGAAAAGAGATTAGCACGAGGGTATTCATAGCAGCTTGATCCTTAGCATGTTATTTATGTGCAAGTGTCTTGAGGGTTAGGTGTTTGAGCAATGCCGCGTAATAATGGAAAAGATTTTCACGTTTCTATTTAATTGCCTGGCCTCGACCGTTGGAACTGGTAGTGACCTGTGACCTTTAGTATTGTATAACCCATTACTTGATGATTGAAAGGTCGGTAGGAGTCATGACTGTTGAGGGGATTTCTCTGTGAAAACGTTCCTTCTCTTGTTACAATCACGTTACTTTTAGGTGTGCCACATACAAACAGAAGAGCTAAAGGCGTAAGGTTTTTTTGCCCAAATCCTTGGCTTATTTCGTCAAACTTTAGATATTGACGTGGGAGTTATAAGTGGAGCGGGACTGGAAGCAGTGTCGGAGGTGCAGCAGGTGGAGGTGGGGCTGTTAATCAATCAACGAATTGACAGATGTATAGAAACAACAAGCTGCATCGATTCAAGGAATTATTTGAGCTGTTTCAAGCTGAATTCGACCTTTACTTTGAAGAGCGAGAAGTTTAGGATGTTGTTGTCGACAAAGAGACACGTCGTGCTTCGTACCGAACATTGCAGACACAATTTGACAATAAGAATCGGTTCGCTAATGCTACACTCCTGCGAGGTTGTGCGGATGTTAAAACGATGATGCAACAAACTTTGCATGAAGTCACAGCAGCAGAAATAGGGGCATCACTCGTCTCTGATAAGACTCAGCGCGACTTCTTGTATGCGGTCATTTTACGTCAAGAATTGTACAAACATTCACATAGTCATGGTGAATCGATGTCGGAGTACCTCAAGAAGATGACACGTTTGCGTCAGCATTCATATTATAAGGGTATTAAGCACATGATCACTTACACGGAGATGGCATGTCTATTGTTATGAGTGTTGCAATAAACTATTGTGAGTTGATTGAACAATTTGACCTACCTGCAAGGCAAAGACACCCACCTACATTACAACAAGTGACCAATGCGCTGCGCTCACGTGACGCGCGGTTCCAATGGTGGAACAAGCTACTGATGCGTTCAACGACAACCAAAGAGCTGTGGTGATGAACGTAAATGCAACATCGGAAGATTCAAGACACAATCGGATTGTTAAAAAGGGGTGAACGGGTCACGTGTTTTCATTGTGGCAATTTTGGACATTTCCGTCGGGACTGTTGGCACTATAATCGGCACCACAACATGGTTCAAGACCGCAACACAACAACTATAAGACCAAGAAGAATGACGATAATCGCAAAGGAAATTATATCCAAGAGTCATCAAGTTATATAAATTGAATTTGAAAAGAGGTCAGTTCGACCAGATCACGATCAATTCTGACGACAAAGATGATCAATTTGCTGCATTCGTCGGAATAGTCGTCAAGCACACGCATTCTGAAGACTCAAGAAAATGGATGCTCGATTGTGGAAGAACTACACATGTGTATATGGAGTGCGGTATGTTCTTTAAACTTAATGATTTGAAGCCTATTGTACCCTCTGGACAGGAGAAAAGATGAGAGTATCAAAGTGCGATCGATGTTGCTGCAAGCAAGAAATCAGCAAAGCAAAAAGACATTGCTGTTGCAATTGGATGAAGTGGGATGTTTACCCTATGATCTACGAATCTTGTAAGTCCTGGTCGAATGGACGCGCGCAAATGGGTCCCTTCATTCAGCGTACCGAAAGGTGACTCCAAGAAAGCTATGGTTGGATCGACTCATATTATCGGATTTTTAACACTGCAGAGGCAAATGTCAAAGCTTTGCGCTTATCCACACTCGAACGACAGCGTCTAACTCGCATTAGTTATGGAGCTATGAGCACCAATGTGGGTGGCCGTTTCCTTTTGACTTGGAGTGTAAGCTGTGCATATGCAATCAATTCGGTCATGACTTCATCAGCACGAACAATTTGTGCACAAAATGTGGGGTTTCGCACTCGTTGCAATTTATAATCGGCTGAGTTTCGATACCGGACGCCACCGGTAATACATATTGCGTCTTCAGGTAGTCCGCAGCTGTCGACACCAATGAAATGCGTGTGCATTGCTTTGTAGAGCTATCAATTTGTCACACATGTACTTTACGAGAAGCGACCAACGGCGTCTCATGTATATTGCGTTACATCTCGATTGAATTTGCATGCCTTTTGCGTCTGAAGACACGTCAGGGCACTCCAAAAATTTATGCAAGGATCTGCACACACCCCTTTTTCTGCAGCGTAGATCGCAACTATTTCCAAATTGCTGCCTACGTAGCAGTTCATAGGGACAAATCGGATCGCCTTTACCATGTCTGAAGCAGCCACCAAGAAGCTCCTGGAAGAGATCGCGCGTCTTGAGGTCGACCTCGTGACACTTCAAGCCTCCTGCACCACGTCCGAAGCGGCTACAAAGTACGTTCTATTGCTATGACGTAGCCACCACATTAGCACTCATCAATTTGTTTTCTGCTATCAGGATCGCCGAGTTCTGCAAGAGAACTGCAGACCCGTTTCTTGGAGAAAATGAAGGCAGTCCGAACCCATGGCACCAGAGCTACCAGAGCAATGGCGGTTGCAGTATCCTGTAGAGCTACTCGATCGACGACGTCATCATCTTCAGCTAATCATCTTCTCGTTGCAAATCTGCACTATACACCTATCTCCATCTGCCCTTCAAGGCTACAAAAAGCCAATAAAAACACCTCCTTGCTGCAGCTCGCAGTCCAAGTGATATCTCGCCAAGAGCCCCCACCCATTTCTGCTCCGCTTTTACTTCCTCGGTGCTGTCGTCGTCTTACCTGCAAACTTACTTCCCTTCTTATCGGCGTTTAAAAACGCTTCCCCTTTTTTGCCTTCGAACCCCGCGCGCTGAACAGACACAACCACACACCCGACTGTGTCAATACCAACCAACCAATCCACTTTCAGTCCCTCATCAAGTCAACAAAAGCCGCACCGGTCCCTTTCGGCCTTTTTTCTCGCCTGCCTTCGCTGTCTCCTGCTTCCCGCGGCCCAACGCGCTCGTCCGTTTCTTCTTCAGTCGCTCCTTCGTCGACACCTCGAGCTTCGCCACGCGCTCCTTCCACTCTTTCGAGCTCTTGGCCTTGGTCTTCTCCTTCTTCTTCAGCTTGGCGCGCAGCAGCTTGGGGTCGTCCAGCACCACTTTCCCAGCCGCCTGCTGCAGCGCCGTGTCCCAGCCCTTGGCCTTGACCTTCTCGGCGCCGTCCTCCGTCTTCTTGAGCTCCTCGAGGCGCTGGGCGTTGCGCTCCGCCTTCTTGAGCAGGTTCTGGATCCCGCGCACACTCTGGCCGTGACGCGTCTTCACCGGCGTCTTCTTGTCCTTGTCAAGCCCCTCGTCCAGCAACAAACTGCCGTACGAGATGGACGAAGAGTCAACGGTCGACACGTCGTCCGTTCGCTGCTCCGCTTGTGTCTCTCCTTGGGCCTGAGAAGCAGCTGCTTCCAGCTCGCGCGTCTCTGCGTGTGCTTTGCTCCGATTGGCTGCGCTCTTGCGCTTCTTCAACGAGCGCTGCTCGGCCACGACCTCCGCCCGAGACGGACGTTTCTGGCCCGTCTTCGCCTCGGCGTGGCGCTGCTCGCGCATCGTCTGGATCTTCACAGCGAGACGAGCGCGGAGACCGTCGAGACCATCGGCTCCGCTCGTGGCGTCACGCGACGTCCGTCGCTTGTCCAGCGCTTGCAGTTGCTGCGGCAGTTGCAGTTGCTGCTTTTCCTGCTGCTCGAGGGCGGCTGCGCTCTGCTGACGCTCCTCGTTGCTTTGCTGCGCGGCGGGAGAGAACTTGGCGCGCTTCAACACGCGCTTCTTGGACGACTCGCGCTGGTGCTGAGCCTGGACATTCTGTGCTCGTTTTTAACACAGACAGACAAGGAGTGAAGGTCACTCCGATGTTAGGATAACAGACATCGAGAAGATGTACCCATTTGCCTTAGACACGTTGAAGCAACGTCGCACCTTGTGGTACTTTCTTGGCGCCGACTGTTTCCAATTCGCTTCGGCGTCGGTGGGAAAGTAAAAACTCGGCGGAATGTTCTCCATCGTATCACAGAAGAAACGATCGTGCTCCATCAACGTGTCGAGGGTCGCATCACCCGACGTAGCGCGCTGTGCATCGACGCGCGTCGACGCTTGCAGCAGTCTCCGTCCTAGCAACATTCTGCAGGGGAAACGAAGACGACAACGAATGCGCGTTGTTGTTGACTGGCGCGCACTCTCGGATCCCGCTGATTGGCTGAAACCACGAAGCAATGCGGATTGGCCTTTCTTACTCACGATCAGTCCGCACTCACTGCCACGTTTTCTATCGTCTTGCATGGACCAGTGCGCAATTTTCCCGCAGAGAGACGCGACATGAAAGCGCTCAAGTTGCTCTATGCGTGGACCACGTTCACGACCGTATCCTGCGCCCTCTTTGTACGTATCTCACGCTGCGGCGGACACGCGGTGGCGCGAGCTCGCCCAAGAAACAACGATCTCTCTCTCTTGTCTAACAGTTGCACTTGTACTTGTCATGGACCTCTGCTCTGTGCGTGTAGGCTGTGTACATGGCGTTCGTGGGTCGGCAGGTGTGTACACAGAACGTGACACATTGATATGCTGTATACACGCTGTATACAAACCATGATGCGCGTGTATACGTGGTGTGTAGGTATACCGGATCATGTCACCGACGTTCTCCGACAGCCCGAACACGTTGGATCCGCTGTGGGGACCCAGCCAGCCGCTGGACGTGACGCTCTACGTGTCCTGTCGTCCACAATGGGACGCGGCCAGCGACTTTACAGCGAACACCGTGCGCATTGGAGCGATCGAGGCGCTCACTTTTGATTGGTCGAGCTCGAACACGCGACAGCTGGATCTCAATCTCTCGCGCGCGACGCTGACGCACTTTGCGAGCGACTCTGGACTGGCCAACGACGTGTGGAACGCGCTCAAGGGCAACGCGTCCGTGTTCCTGCACGTCCACGTGACACACGCGGGGTTCTCCCCTAACCCGATGGGCGCCCTGCCCTACGATCAGTACCGGACCTTCCACCAGGCCTTGCGTCTCGTCCACTACGCTCCGAGTCTGAAGACGAAGAAGACGAACCTGTTACTGGCTTCCAAGCCACTGCAGAACCGCTCGCAGACGACGAGAGACGACGATGACGAGGCAACGACCACTTCGTACTGGAAACCGACGGTGAGCATGCGCCTTGTCACGGACTTTCGACGATATCCCGTAGCGGAGCTGCCGCTGCTCGTGTACCAGAACTTGCGCTTTGTCCAGCACCCGATGGATCAGCGGTGGCGCTATTTGCCAGCGCTGTACGTGGACGATCTGTCGCAGACGCAGGACAAACTCGTGCCACTGAACGCCTCGCTCGATGACGGAAGTGGAGGAGACGCGGTGCTTCCGCTGCACCTGCTTTGGTCGCCGCTCTCGTTTGCTCGTTGGCATATGCAGCTCACATTTGCCAGCGTCTTTGTATCACAGGAGCAACTAGGTATGCCGTCAAGCGATCTGGATGCTCTTCGTTCGATGGTGACCGACACGCACCCTGTGCTTCTGGCGGTCACCATGGCTGTGTCGTTGCTGCACTTACTCTTCGACTGGCTCGCCTTTCGTCACGACGTGAGCTACTGGCGCGCTAAAGGAGACGACGTCGTTGGTGTGTCTCTGCGTGCCATGGCAGCGGAATTGGCGTCGCAGCTTGTAGTGCTTTTGTACCTTGTCGACAACGAGTCGACGTTGCTCGTTACGGGCCCGCAGCTTGTCAGCGTGGTCCTGCTTGTTTGGAAAGTCACGAAGGTGAAACGGGCGCAGCGGCAGCAGCTGGAGCACGAGTTTTGTGCTGATTTTGGTGAGGACGAAGCTCAGATGACGCACAAGCAACACAGTCTTCGGTTGCTAAAAGAGACGCAGCACGCTGACTCATTGGCTACGTCACACATGCTGTTCATACTTGCGCCTCTAACTGCGGGATACGCCGTGTACTCGCTGCTGTATGTCCCACACGCTGGGTGGTATGCCTGGTTGCTCGAGTCCATTACGACGACGGTGTATGCGCTGGGCTTTATCTTTATGCTCCCGCAGCTAGTCATCAACTACCGTCTCAAGTCGGTCGCGCATTTACAGTGGCGACTGCTCGTCTACCGTGCGCTGAACACCTTCATTGACGACTTGTTCGCCTTTGTGATCAAGATGCCGACACTGCATCGGATCTCGTGCTTTCGTGACGACATTGTCTTCGTCGTGTATCTGTACCAGCGTTGGGTGTACCCTGTTGATGTCCAGCGACCGGGAGACGTTGCCGATGGTGCTTCTAGCCTGAAGAAAGACGCCTTGAATAAGCCTCACGATGAATAAAGGTGTGAATACAAGCCTCGAGGCTGCTCGTTTTTGCGTACTGCTTGCTACGCTTGAGATCGCATGTTAATACTACCGGCCCAAGAGGATCTTTGGAGAAGGTCTAGTTGCCGTCATTTTACGTGAAGCCTACGAACATGTGACACGAGTCGCAAACAGATGGACATGTGGTCATTACTTGAAAGTGGTTCGTAAACATCATTGCTGTATGAGTGATCAGGCGCTTCTAAATGTCCGGGACACTTGCAACTATGAATCCAACATGGAAGCGTGAGCGACGAAGCATGTTCCTGATTGTCCAGTCGCACAACAAACAGAAATTTCGAGGGTCCCATGGTGATCCGATAAAATTTCTTAACGATTACGACGCAACTCATTGCAGGTTTGTTGAAGGCTTACAACGACAGCGAGGCATTCGTATCGCGGATGTGTCTGGTGGGGCAGTGCTAGGCTAAAACATGGCTGGGGCCTAACGAACGATTGAGACAGTTCTGTGACAACGAATATACTGTACATTGAAATGCAGGCAGTTTCTCGACTTGTAAATCTGCTCGCGTCGGTTGCTGGAAATGAGGGTCTCACTTGTTGAGGCTGGTGCTGGTAGAATTGTGCCAATTGTCAACAGCGTTTCCCACGTTCTCTTGATCATTGCAGTCGTCGTGCACAACGCGATCGATCCGCATACTTTCTGTTCGATGGCTACAATTTTGGTCACCGTTGACAGGATGTAGCAGTTTAGGATGATGCATCTATGTATCTTGTCTCGCTTGACCGCCGCTTTCGCCTGAATTGTGTTTTGACAAGAGGCCTTGTAATCAAAACTCGCAAGTTTGGCGCGACGAAGTGGAGCGATACAAATGTACAGTTGAACGGCTCTTGGATGTCTACCTTGTTTGAAACGGCATGTAAGATGAGCTTTTAGCAGCCACATGCTCCAGTGCTAACGGCCCACAGCGCTAAGAGAAGATACTTTTTATGCGTAGTGTGCGAACAAGACATTCTACTGGAACAAACCACACTCAAGAGGCTGAACAACGTTGGCTGACGGACAATGTCGGTGACGGTGCCACACGTTTCTCATGCCATCGCCTTGCATGTCGTCGAGAAGAGATATGGTGATGCATATTTTTTTCAAACACAACCTCGTTCAACAGCTTTCGACATGTACCACTAGTCGCCATCACCGCCAAGTCATTGGACCTTCTGTGATTAAGAGTTCTTCTTAGGGACTGCTGGAATGCAATTGCTAGAACCCTAGAACCTCCAGCGTTTGATCATGTCGTCGTCATGATAACGCACTCGGATAGAATCCGTATAGGCATCTACGAGCAGGCAGTGATCAAGGCAGTTTGAGCTGGAATCGAGAAATGATGAGTAGTACAGGCGCCACATCCGTGTTCTGTCGAAACAGCCCGGTCGGCCCCTCGCTTTTGCACTCGAGACCACGTATGTGTAACGGGGTGAATCGTTACATAACAATTTATAAGAAATTGTTAATAGAATATAACTATAAGAGTTATATTCTCAGAATATTGTCATAAGGACAATATTCTGTAGCACTTCCAAGTAGTTCCTAATTGGTTGATATAGGCCATTATATCAACCAACGAAGACGCGCCACGACAGACGCACGCAATGAGTGGTGAGCAGATAACTGATTTACACATTTGTATTTAGACATAGTTAGATGAAGATAAATAGTGATTTATTGCAGACATTAACTATTATAAATACAGTTCTACTTTTTACTCTAACCAAGTACTCGCTTCTTCTTACCGTCTTCCTCTGCACGTACGAGTGTACGTGAAGTTACGAGGCACCGCCTTATTCTGTTATCGGAATAAGTAGCTTGTACTGTCATCAGTACAAGCTTCAGGGTGCCCCGTTACACCTGGTAGCACTTCGTAGTCCGTCCAAGGACCGCGTTCACATCCAACATGAATATGTTGGATGATGAAGATGACCAAAGCTTTCACGCTACGCGTGACGGCTACTCCCATTTGAGCGATGTCGAATGGGATGCGGTTGAACGAATGGGTTCGACCATGGGCATCCATGCTGTTAGCGTCATGCTAGAGGCTCTCAATAGAGATGCCCAACATGCTACTATCGCCAAGTTCATTCAAAATGAACTTGACGCAGAACGCGAGAAAGTAGCCTTGCTTCACCAACAAGGTTCTCAACAAGCAGAGTTGTTGAGAGAACAAGGTGCTCAACAGTTTGAACTGTTGAGACAGCAGCAGGCTGCTGCTGGCGGGTCGATGCACTCGCGTCGGCCCGAGACTTTGAAGATTGACATCTCCAAGTATAGGGGGGTCGAAGAAGACTCCCTCTTGAGATGGTTCGTCGAATTGGATGACGCCATAAGGGCGCGTCGCATCGACGACGGGGATATGCAAGTTGCATTTGCCCAGTCAAATCTGGCAGGACGTGCCAAGACTTGGGCACTGGGGCTCAAGCTGCACGACCCATATGCGTTTGGGTCGTTGGAAGTCTTCAAGTCGCGGCTCAGACAAACGTTTGAACCGCCTAGAGCTGAGTTCAGAGCTCGAACCGAACTCTTGAAGCTCAAGCAGGGTAAGCGTGATGTGCACGCTTACGCTCAACATATACGACATCTCACGAGTTGTATAAGTTCCAATCCGGTGGATGAACACACGTTGGTTTCGGTGTTCATGCAGGGTCTTGCGGATGGTCCCGTCAAGACTCACCTGTTCCGGCTTGAACTAGATTCACTAGAACAAGCCATTTCAATTGCGGAGCAGGAAGACTTCAGTCTGAGACAGGCTCGCGCCAGCTCGACATCATATCGTCAACCGAGACGATATGACAACGGAGGTCCAGAGCCGATGGAACTCTGTTATGTAGAGAGCGAGAAGGCTCGCTCTACAGGCTACAAGAAGTTGCAGAGATGCAACAGATGTCAAAAGACAGGACACTACGCTTACGAGTGTAGTGCCCCTCGTCCAGTGTCTCGCGACACTGGGCGTAGTGACCGTCCACCCATGAGAAAGGGGCAGGGACGAGGGTCCGCAGTTGGTGCAAAGACGCAACAACGGGATGGACCGTCAAAAAACGGACAGGATCAGTAGGTGCGGAGCACCCTACTGATCCAGCAACGTCAAGAGAATTTGTAGGCCTCTTGATGAAGGTTGCTCCCAACACACAGACATTGTGCGTTGCTGCTCTAGGTAATGAGATCTCACTCATTACCTTGAAACTCGAAGTGACGAATAAGTTGTCCCTTCGAGCTCTAGTCGATTGTGGGGCGTCCAACAATTTTGTGCGACGCCAATCGCTAGAAGATGGTCACTTTAAATTCAGTGAATGTGACACACCTCCTACGAGGATGACGGTACGTCTTGCGACAGGCGCATCCGTAACCGTCATGAAGCGTATAGTGAAGATTCACTATACGCTAGAAGATACCCAATACGACGATGACTTTATCGTATTGGATTTGGATGACAAATTTGATGTCATCCTTGGAATACCGTGGCTCAGAAGGTACGAACCACGGGTAAACTGGCAACATCGGACAGTAGCGATGCCTGCCGCTTGTTCATCAGATGGCCATCTGATGAACGTTTTGGAGCGTCCACAAGCGTGTGGATGTACTACGAGTGAGTGCGATGGCCTCACTTGTGGTACGGTCGTTAGTACGACTGCACAAAACCTTAGTGTACCAAACGGTTACACTTCGGAGCAAAGTTCCGGCGGCTGTGAGGAAACACAGGCTGCGCCGAAGGTCCACCACTCGAATAAGTCGGGTGGACTGGGACAAAGATGTATCCCTAGAGGGGAACATCTAGAAGAGAAACATTCGATCGCTCAGGTTAAGCGAAACGATAATCCTAGATCGACTGGAGAGTCTTTCGTAGAGGATCTCGCTGTGGTTGCGCAACCCCAGCTAGAGGAAGTAAAGGGAATAAGTCCCAATATTACAAATACGGCGGAAATAAGTTCCCCGAAACCCGCGGGAATAAGTCCCCGGGAAGACGAAGGAATAAGTCCTTCGAAGCCTGAGGGAATAAGTCCCCAGGAAATGACAGAGACATTGAATGTCATAGTCAATAACGGATCATGTGTAGGCGCTTATACACTTGATCTGATTGCGCCTCCGAAGTTAACTTCGGAGATCACTCAGTTGCCAACGCTCGAACATAAAAGATTCTTGCGTGATCTGCGTAGTGGCAAAGTCAAGCAGATCTGCATACTCGTCGCTGAAGACGAGTATGTAACCGACATAAGGTCAGCAACAGTGTTTACTGAGAACGAGAGAGTTCTCAGTAGTTCATCTATGGACGAGAGTGTCCTAGATGAAAAGACACGAATTGAGCGATATGAGTCCCAATCATGGGAATCGCTCAAGGAAAATCCTCTCTATGAAGATTTGGTTGAATTCAAGGATGTATTCCCTGAAACTGTTCCGTGCGAATTACCGAAGGATAAAGGTATTCGACACGAAGTCGAGCTTAAACCAGGCTCGAAGTACTGTGTCATGAAGCAGTGGCCACTGCCTCGTGAACAAGTACTTGCGATCGACAAGTTCTTTGCCGATCGTTTAGCAGCGGGCCATGTGAGGGAATCAACTTCCCCACATAGCTCTCCGACCTTCTGTGTGCGAAAAGCAACAGGAGGGTGGCGGATAGTGCACGCGTTTAACAAATTGAACGCTGCAACGGTACCGGCTCAGACGCCGATACCGAGGAAGGACGTAATCATTGATGGTATGTCAAAGAGTACCATCTTTTCGTCCATGGATTTGATGGATGGCTTCTATCAAATCCTAATGCGGGAACGGGATATACCCTATACCGCAGTTAGCACGCCTAGCGGCATGCTCTGGGAATGGCTAGTAATGCCACAAGGGCTCAGTAATGCCCCTGCCACGTTCAACAGGTGTGTATCACATCTGTTGAGACCAGTACGAGAATTCGCGCCGAGTTATTTCGATGACGTATTCATCCATAGTCGAGCTATGGATGGAAAGTCGGACG